AGAACTGCAGGCTTTTCTTTGAATCATATCATAGAATGGCCTGGGTTGCAAAGGCCCACAGTGCTCATCCAGTTCCAACCCCCTGCTGTGTGCAGGTCACCAACCAGCAGACCAGGCTGCCCAGAGCCACATCCAGCCTGGCCTTGAATGCCTGCAGGGATGGGGCATCCACAGCCTCCTTGGGCAACCTGTTCCAGCGTATCAGTCCAGCCAGTTCCACTACAAGAGCATAGAGACTGATACTCCAAAAGCCAATCCCTCTTTGGGAAGCCAGGACACCTTCATGCCCAGTATGTGGTTAGAGCATGCAGGCTTCGTGGCTGCCTTGGCACTCTGGGTTTCCCACCACAGGTGTATTCTCTGCAGTCTCTGGTGGGTTTCAGCCACAAACATCCTTTGTTTCATGCTCCTCCACTCCTCGTTAGGAAGATGTTGGAGAGGGAATGGTTTGGTGTTGGGATAGTCAAATCGCAATCTGTTTCAGGAATGAAAACATAGAAACAGCAGAGCCCTACAAAAGTACTAGTGCTTTTCCAAGAGCCAACTGGTCGTGAAACTGTGGCAGATGGAGGGTGATCCTCTGGTATTCTGCAGCCAGTTATGCTTTGGATATGACAGGCAAAACCATGCTGATAGGAGCAGAAGAGGGAAGAAGAACTCATTCACTGAGAAGCCCAATATAATTGCCTCCCATGTGGGAGATATGTTGCCTTTGGTAGGGGGGAGAGGAACCTCCATCAGACCAACCTGAGAAGCGTGGCCAGAGACCCAGACAGTTCACCAGCCAGGAAATGGGAACGTGGGAAGTGCCCTCCTACCCTCATGGCCAGATGAATCTCCTTGCAAGCCCCTGCAGGATGTGTGAGAGATGGCCAGGAAGCAGACAGCTGGACATTTAGGGACCTGGAAGGAGGACTGTTGGGCATATAGCACAGAGTGCTGCCTCAGCTGCATCTCCTCCTGCCTGGACATCTTCTCAATGTATAGGCTACCGCTGCTTGAGAGGATTGCTGTTTCTTAGGAGGTTCTATAGGAGCAATTAACAACTGCGTGGAGTTTTAACAAGCGGTGGATTCTGAAATGGGGATGGGGCAGCACTGGCTATTTGAACAGAGAGGAAAGAGATCTGGGGGTCCTGTGTGGAGCCAGGAGTTGGGCTCAGTGGTCCTCATGAGTCCTTTCCTACTCGGGGTATTCTACGATTCTTTGGAGCTGCCAGCCTTCATGAACTGGAGAACTCTGATTAACCCATTACCTGCTTTTTTGCACCAGAGATATGTTGTACTCTTCATCATGTTCTGCATATTCTCTTCTCTTTAGAAGATCGTAGTGACACTTAACGACTGCAATACCAGGCATTGCTGCAGTACTCCAGGAGGAGTCTGCTCCAAACTTTGCTGCTCTTTATTTCACAGGAGGGACAACAAGCCTTGGAGAATGGTCAGGCTCAGAGTGGGGAGAGAACTGAGCCAATTTGTTTTTTGACCTGGCCTTGAGCATCTCTAAGGATGGGGCATAAGGAAGAAGGGGCTGTATGGAGATGACTCTCCTGTGGCTGAAGGTATCACCATAGCACCAGCCTTCCTGAAATGGCAAGCAGGGTTTTTACCTTGGTGGCTTCAGATCTACAAGATGGGTGGAAGTCAGACAGGAGCTGAGCAGCACAGCGAATGTGTAGGAACCTCCACTGTGAATCATAGAATCATAGAATCACATAATGCCTTGAGTTAGAAAGGACTTCAAGGATCATCAAACTCCGACCCCCCACCACAGGCAGGGCCACCAACTTCCACATCCTCCACATTTAATATCAGACCAGGCTGCCCAGGGCCCCATCCAACCTGGCCTTGAACACCTCCAGGGATGCACCTGTCATGGTAAGGGACATTGAAGCAGCTCTTTGTTGTGAGCCAGGACAAGCTAGGTAGGCAAGCAGCACTTTAATGCTACCCCTCATGACCTAAAGGTGAGAGAATTTGTTTCAGGTCTGGATTCCCTCCAAAGGCTTCCCAGGCTATCATGCAAAATGCAGAAAGAAATGAAAGAAAAAAAGAAAGAAAAAAACGACTAGTGCTGCTTTGAGGCCATCCCAGTACTGCTCTAAAAAAGAGCAGACACATTTTTAAGTTACACACTGGACTGCCATGCTCTAGTAGCTCCAGAACTGGGACAGAACTCTCTTTTCTCTTAGAGTAGCTGATGACGTGGGGCAGTGCCAACACTAGAAGAAGAGTATTAAACTCTCTTATTATGACCCTTTGCCTGTATCTGTAAGAAGAAAATGCCATTAATTAGACTTTCAAATTACGCTCAGATATAGAAATCATCTAAATTGCCAGCATTAATAAGACACGCAAGGAAGAGCCTGGACAAACTGAGAGTGAACTCACCAACAGAGGGGATTATACAAATTCAGGTCACTGTACCTAAATAGCCCTGCAATCTTTCTCCTGTGCCATTGTCTAGAACTGGCTGTCATCAAAAGCTGTCTGTTTGCATCTGCACTGATAGTTCCATGCTGTTTCCATCATGTGGGGACTAAACAGCCTTGAACTTGCCCCACCAAGGTAATCGTAGATAGGATGGTATGAAGCAACTATTCTTCTTTGACAAAGAGAGCTGTGTCTGATAACATGATCTTCATGCTTTATTATTCTCCAGAGATAAGCAGATTGAGGAACTGGAGCTTCTTGTGCTGAGCAAGACCTGTGGTTCTACACCAGTGCCCGCACCTTGTGTGGCCAGTGTGCTGCAAAGCAGGCAGAGCTCCTGTTCTGCAGTCAGCTGGTAGCTGCCTTTGTCCTGTGCCACTGCTGAGAAGCTCCCTTCTGTCTAGGAGCCCTTCTCAGCATATATGCCAAATTTCAGTACTATCCAACTCAAAACTCTAACTTTACTGAAATAACCCAGCAGAGGGGTGGCCAGCAGGGACAGGGAGGTGATTGTCCCCCTCTATTCTGCTCTTGTGAGGCCCCATCTGGAGCACTGTGTCCAGGTCTGGAGCCCCCAGTACAAGAAAGACAGGGAGCTGTTGGAGAGGGTGCAGAGGAGCCACAAAGATGATCAGGGGGCTGGAGCAGCTCCCCAGTGAAGACAGGCTGAGGGAGCTGGGCTTGTTCAGCCTGGAGAAAAGAAGGCTGCGGGGTGACCTCATTGCAGCCTTTCAGTACCTAAAGGGAGCCTACAAACAGGAGGGGAATCAACTCTTTGAAAGGGTTGATAACAGCAGGACTAGGCAAAATTATTTTAAGTTGATGGAGGGAAGATTTAGGTTGGATGTCAGGGTGAAGTTCTTTGCTATGAGAGTGGTGAGGTGCTGGAATGAGATCAGGAATTGTGGGGATGTGGCACTAAGGAGTGTGGGCAATGGGTATGGTGGGGGTGGGCTAGAGTTAGGCTTGGGCATCTCAGAGGTCTTTTCCAATCTTAATGGTTCTCTAACCATTAAGGCAACTCATGCCATGGAGTATCAGCTACAGTCAGTTCTTCTGACACTGAGAAAGTTTCAGGATGATGCACAGGATGATGCTACCACATTGCTGCCCCATGGAAGGAGCACAGGGAAAAGCATACAGTCACACACACTCAAAGCCCACACAGTTCTAACCCCTGCCCTGGGCTGGGTGCCCCCCAGCAGCTCAGACTGCCTAGGGCCCATCCATGGCCTTGAGCAGGGATGGGTCAGCCACTGCTCTGGCCAGCAGTGCCGGGGCATCACCATCCCTTGAAAACTCAGATTATGGCACAGGCTGGGACTTGGATTTGAAAGAGAAAGTGGATTTATACCAGAATTTTCAAAGAGCTTTTTGGAGATGAAAGGCTGAGTAACCTGGGTCTGTTCAGCCTGAGGAAAAGAAGATTGAGGGGGGATCTGATCAATGTTTATAAATACCTGAAGGACGGTGGGAGGCAAATGGATGAGGTCAGGATCTTCTTGGTGGCACATAGCAATAGGACAAGGAGCAATGGCCTAAAACTTGAACACAGAAAGTTTTGTACAGACATGCAGAACTTTGCAGTAAGGGTGACAGAGCACTGGCACAGGCTGCCCAGAGAGGTGGTGGAGTCTCCTTCTATGGAGATATTCAAGACCTGTCTAGATACCAACCTATGTGACCTATTGTAGGGAACTGTTTTAGCAGGGGGTTGGATTCTATGATCCCTTGAAGTCCCTACCAACCCCAGCAGTGCTGGGATTCTGATGATAGAGAAGAAAGCCAGAAGCAGGCTGTGTTTTCCCCAGGCAAAGAGCAGCAGGCAGTGCTTGGCATGCACCTCGAGGGCTGTGTTCAGATTTGGGCACCTCACTATAGAAAGACATCGAGGCCTGTAGCGTGTGCAGAGCAGGGCAATGGAGCTGTGAGGGGTCTGGAGCACAAGTGTTACGAGGAGTGCTTGAGGGAGCTGGGATGGGTCAGTCTGGAGCTGAAGAGCTCAGGGAGACCTCACTGCTCCTGAAAGGAGGTGTGGTGAGGTGGGGTGGCGACAGGACGCGAAACATTTCTCCTCCTAAAGAGCGGTGATGCAGCGGCACAGCTGCAGGGAGGTGGTGGGCTCACCGTCCAAGGAGGTGCTCAGAACCGTGCGGATGTGGCATTGCGGGACACGGTGGGCATGGTGGGGTGGGCTGGGGTTGGACTCGGGGATCTTAGCGGTCTTTCTCTACGTGAATGATTCCGTTCTTCTACAAACACGGGGCGGGCGATGGGCGGACTGGTCACAGCCCATCCGTTCGCCTTGCGCACTCCTCCACGCCCTCCTCAGCCCCGCCCACCGCGCCTCCATGCCCACCCTGTGCCTCGGAACGCGCGGCGGCAGGGCGCGTTGTGCACCGGACTGATGAGGAGAAGCACTTCCTATAGAGGCGGGGTTCCTCCCCCCCAGCACGCCCACTCGGACCGCTATTGGTCAGCGGTGCGTCACATGATCGCCGCCTCGTCCCGTTAGCGGCGGACGATCCGCCCGTTCCACTTCCGCTCCGCTCGGCGCCTCCCGCCGGCCTGGGGGTGCTGGCGGCGGCCTGGCCCCCCTCGGCCCCGGCGCTCTCGGTTTCCTTCGTTCCCTGCCAGCATGGAGTTCGCCGAGCTGATCAAGACTCCCCGGGCAGACAACGCCGTCCTGCACCGGCCCTTCCACCCGACCGTGGAGGGAACGCTGTGCCTCACAGGGCACCACCTCATCTTCTCCTCTCGGCGCCAGGATAACGAGGAGGAGTTGTGGCTGCTGCACTCCAATATCGACTGCATTGAGAAAAGGTGCGGGCCTTCCCGCCTGCCTCCCTGCCCTCCTGCGCGGTTGTCTCGGGGTTCGGCGGGCTCCATTCTGGTTTCTCCAGGCTTGTTCAGCCTGCAGAAAAGAAGGCTGCGGGGTGACCTCATTGCAGCTTTCAGTACCTAAAGGGAGCCTACCAACAGGAGGGGAACCAACTGTTTGAAAGGGTTGGTAACTTCAGGACAAGGGGAAATGGTTTGAAGTTGAGTGAGGGAAGATTGAGGTTGGAGTCAGGTTCTTTCCTATGAGAGTGGTGAGGTGCTGGAACAGCTGCCCAGAGAGGCTGTGGATGCCCCGTCCATCCCTGGAGGTGTTCAAGGTTGGATGGGGCCCTGGGCAGCCTGGTTTAGCATTAAACGGGGAGGTTGGTGGCCCTGCATGTGGTGGGGGGTTGGAGCTTCATGATCCTTGAGGTCCCTTCCAACCCAAGCTATTCTGTGATTCTCCCCCCCGCTGTTGCAGGAATTATTAGCACTTAGCATTGTGATGCTTCTTGCTGGGACAGTATGGTGAAGCTGTGTTGTGGCTCTGCAGTGGCACTTTACCCTCGCCCATCTCCTTTTGTCACGGGAACTTTGGGGATTAATCTTCTCCACATTGTTTCTGTTCTGTGCTGTTTCTTCACTGTGCTTCTCTTGTTCTGTTGAGTGACAGACCCCTTTCTGGCCATAATCCTGTGCTGCTTCACTGCTGTCCTTTTGTCAGTTTGGTAATATAAATCTCCTCTGTTCTCCTCTTCTAAAGCAATCTGGAAAAATAGGTTTCCTCTCTGACAAAAGCAGGAAAGATCCAGTAGCAGTGGCTATAAAAATCAGGCTTTCTCACAATGGCTAAAGGACTTGGCACTGGTTAACTTTGTTCCTTTGGCTCTGATTTCTCCCAGTGTTTCTGAGAAATGCTGTTTCCTGGCCTGAGGGTGGAGAGGAACAGAGTGAAACCTAAGGAAATCTGCTCCCATCTGGCACTGCTCAGTCATCAAGGAGGTTTGGCCCTGTCCTCGTGGCTGCTGCTACTAAACCAGCTATAGCTCTGTCTCATAAAATGATTATGAAGAAGCTTCTGTTTCTTTTTCGTAGAATCATAGAATGGCCTGGGTTGCAAAGGCCCACAGTGCTCATCCAGTTCCAACCCCCTGCTGTGTGCAGGTCGCCAACCAGCAGCCCAGGCTGCCCAGAGCCACATCCAGCCTGGCCTTGAATGCCTGCAGGGATGGGGCATCCACAGCCTCCTTGGGCAACCTGTGCCAGTGCCTCACCACCCTCTGGGGGAAAAACTTCCTCCTCATATCCAACCTAAACCTCCTCTGTCTCACTTTAAGACCATTCCCCCTTATCCCATCCCTCTTCACCCTTATAAACAGCTGGTCCCCCTCCTGTTTATACTCCCTTCAGCTACTGGAGGGCCACAATGAGGTCTTTATGGAGCCTTTTCTTCTCTAAGGGGTTTTTGAGTTTCACCCAAAAAATACGTTGTTAATACCAAAGTAACAAGGAGTGTTAAAAGGTCTCTGGAGTGGATACTTTCCTCCCTGAGAATGGCTTTGTGTGAGTAATTGTCCATATACAAAAGGATGGGAGAGCATGTTCTTCTCAGTGCTTGAGGGAATGCAGTAAGAAGGCTCTTCAAGCCAATAAGGATTGCAGGAATCTCCTCTTTGGCACAGCCTCAGGTTATTAGTGACTACAGCCCTGACACCATGTCAGGTTTGTTGTCTCTCCTCCCACTTTCATGGTTTGTATTCTGTCTGAAAGTGTTTTCATTACTTACCAGCCCTCAGGATGCTCTTCAACTTCTGGTGGTTTTTCCTGCAACTTAATATGACCTTACAGGTCCTTTTTATGGGGTTACTGAGAAGAGAAGCAGTCTCAAGTAATCTCACATGGAGCTTTTCCTTAAAGTAACAGGGAAAGGGAGTGCTGCTCTGCTGGTTCTGCACATTGAGAGTCTGAAATTGCATGTGCTTTTTGCAGTGCTGTGCACAGAGCAGCTATGTTGGAGATGCAGAAGTACCTCAAAATGCCTCTAGTTCTTTCTTCAGCAGTACTAAAATCATAATAGGTTCTGCGTGCTGACCTTGGCACTGAAGAAATAGATGAGATCCTTTCAGCTGAAGTAATTTCTAAATTACAGGCATTTCTCATAACCCAGGTGAGGCAACCACAGCTTAGCAACAGTCTCCCTTTAGGGCAGTACAGCTCTGACCCTGTATGTATGTGTGTGCTCTGACTGAAACCTGGCCCTTCAGTTCTCTTCTGCTTCTGTTTCTTGCATCACTGCTGGAAGCGCTCTTCTGGTGAATGAGGAAACTATGCTGCTCTTCCTTAGCCTTCTGTTTTGCAAACTGATATCTATGCTGTTTCTGTGAATGCTGCTGACAACTTTAAGTGGGGGAAAAACCACTCCTTTTCTGCTCAGGCATCACCCAGCTTTCAGATACACAAGGAAGACTGGAGAGGGCGTCTGTGTGCTGTGTTTACTTTGCAGCATAGAGCTTTTCTGGTTTGCTTTGTAAATGCTTGTGATAAGAGCTTAGCTTCTGAGGTTCACAGAACAGATACCTGCAGTGCCGTGGAGCTCTCCGAAACCAAACCTGTTTGTTTAAGGGATGTAATATAGCCAGCCTGAAATGTTTTAAAAATGAAATTCTGCTCACTTGTTTCCATCTGTCCTTAAAGTTTCAGCATATCACTTTAAGGAGGCTGAGAACTTCATGGAACCATAGAAATGGTTTGGGTTGGAAGGAACCTTTAAGATCACCCAGTTCCAACCCCCTGCTATAGGCAGGGATACCTCCCTCTAGACTAGGGTTGCTCACAGCCCCATCCAACCTGGCCCTGAATGCTTCCAGTCTTATCAGACCAGAAGGTGCCCCTTCTTTTGTATTTTAAAGCAAAGTTGGGATGAAAGTCTTCTCCATCCTGTAATGCCACACCACACAGATGAAATAAAGCAGAGTCCAGCTTGAAAGCTACCGAATGTATATACACTTTGGAAGGATGATAGTGCATGTGTTGTACAGGAATTACTGCTAATGGCATTTTGTCTTGTGGGAGAAGCTGTAATACTTCCTCACGTTCTGAAAAGGCTCTTTCTTCATGTCTTGCTCTAGGTTTCTGGGCTCAGTGGGAACCATCATTATAAAATGCAAAGATCTGCGAATTATTCAGCTGGATATTCCTGGAATGGAGGAGTGTCTGAACATTGCTAGCTCTATTGAGGTAAGAATTTATAATGGTAAGCATGGATTTTCAGACCTCTGCTTTAGCTCTTCTCAAGTAAGGGGATAACAGGACGTGTCCTACGTGACATTTCTTTATTGTGCTGTTAAACATCATGGCTTGCACAAGGTTACTATGCAGGCAAATCCCCTATTATGGTTAGATGATTATCAGCTTTCTTGTGATACTTGGCTATATGACTGCTAAACTACCCTCCAGGTGACTGTATTTCAAGCTTGGCAGCTGTGTACTTTTGGATCACTTAAGTTTATTAAGCTTTCATCACCAGTATTAGAGAAAAAACATACAGAAAGTGGTGTTTTAGAGGAAAATGTTTGAATCTTAGCCACGTGTTTATTCCTCTCACCCACACAGGCACTTTCTACGTTGGATTCTGTCACTCTTATGTACCCGTTCTTCTACCGGCCCATGTTTGAAATTGTTGAAGATGGATGGAGTGCTTTTCTGCCCGAGAAAGAGTTTGAAGTCCTCAACTCAGTGGTAAGTTGAATTTAAAGGCTTGCACAGGCACTCGGGTATACTTGTACAAGTAGTTCTTGAATACAGCTTGGAGAAGAGAAGGCTCTGGGGGGACCTCATTGTGACCTTCCAGTACTTGAAGGGAATATAAACAGGAGGGGGAACGGCTGTTTGTGAGGGTGGATGGTGATGGGACAAGGGGAATGGTTTTAAACTGAGACAGGGGAGGTTTAGGTTGGATATGAGGAGGAAGTTTTTCCCCCAGAAGGTGGTGAGGCACTGGAACAGGTTGCCCAAGGAGGCTGTGGATGCCCCATCCCTGCAGGCATTCAAGGCCAGGCTGGATGTGGCTCTGGGCAGCCTGGGCTGCTGGTTGGTGACCTGCACACAGCAGGGGGTTGGAACTGGATGAGCATTGTGCTCCTTTGCAACCCAGGCCATTCTATGATTCTATGAAGAGTTTTCCTCCTATAGTGTCTGGTCTGAAAATCTGATTCTAATAGCTGTCCAGTGCCTGGATAGGAAAGGAGTGTTGTTCCAGTATTCTCTCTGAATATCAGGCATTTCTGTTTCTGCTAAATATTACCATCTGGTGTACAGATTTCATTGTACAAATGGAGTTCTGAGGCTCATGTAAACGCTGCCTGGGAAGACAGACATCTTCTGTCCTTTGGAGATGGCTGCTTCGTTGTAAGAATTAATTCAGGATCTCTGGCATGGTTTTGCTTGAGTTAATTTTGCATCTGGAGAAGGGTGAATCTTTGTCAACCTCTTACCTGAAACAAGACATCTTTAAACAAGTAAATCTACAAATGAATCTTTAAAAATTAGTACAAATTTCTTAGCTTTGAGGTTGATATATCGATGCTCAATTCCAAATACTCTTTGCTCTAGCTTATGCTGGAGAAATACTGGGAGGGTTCAGAGGAGAGGATTTCTAGTTGCATTCTTCCAGGTGCTATGAACACATGTTGATGTTATTTTGGTACCTGAGGGGTAGCAACTGTTCACAGATTCTCTGAATATCCCAGATTGGAAGGGACCTCAAGGATCATGAAGCTCCAACCCCCTGCCACACGCAGGGCCACCAACCTCCACATTTCAGAGCAGCCCAGGCTGCCCAGGGCCCCATCCAACCTGGCCTTGAACACCTCCAGGGATGGACGGGGCATCCACAGCCTCTCTGGGCAGCTGTTCCAGCACCTCACCACTCTCTCTGTAAAGAACTTCCCCTGACATCCAACCTAAATCTCTCCTCCCTCAACTTAAAACCATTTCCCCTTGTCCTGCTGTTATCTACCCTTTCAGAGAGTTGATTCCCCTCCTGTTTGTAGGCTCCCTTTAGGTACTGAAGGCTGCAATGAGGTCACCCCGCAGCCTTCTCTTCTCCAGGCTGAACAAGCCCAGCTCCCTCAGCCTGTGTTCATTGGGGAGGTGCTCCAGCCCTCAATTCTTGTGGAATTTCACATTGAATCTCTTCATTTTAGGATGCTGAGTTTGATGCAGTGGGAGATGGCTGCACCCTGTCTGTTTTAACAGTGCCTTGGGTTAGCCTCTCTGCTCCAAGTCTGTTTCACATTGTGTGCTTGCTGCATCATCTTGGCTTTCTGAGCCTACATCCATTAGTACAACATCAAAGAATATTGATTTAGTTTTTTTTATCTGCAGTCCAGCTTGTCTGCAGGATTTGTTGCTTCCTGTTTGAGTAATAACTGGATCTGATTAGCTTGGCTGGATTCCTGTGGTGAGATCACTAGGAAATTAAGGGAGTTCAGGGATCTTTCTTTTTTTAGTCTCATAATTAGAGTACTGTCACTTGTCCTAGCTTTACCTGCTGTCAGAAGTCATGCAAGCTGATCTGTTACAATAACCAGCACCACAGCTTTTGTTTTAATCGCAGTTGGGTGAATCAAGCATATAATCAGAACACTCTCCTGTTGGGAGGCTAAGAAGCAGATGTCCAGCCCAGCAGAGGAAACATGCAGGCATTTCAGTGGGAATCAAAAGGAAGGGAACAGAAGCAGGTCCTGTGTGATGGGAGGATGTGTGAGAGCAGGAAGGCAGCAGCAGGAGACCTCAGAGCTCAGTGAGAGGATGCTTTCCTTTTTATGAGTATTTGAAAACCTTTTTAGATTTGAGGCATTGGCTCACTGCTGACTTCTGAATGTTCCAGCACAGAGATGCAGCTGCTAACACACACCTATTGGTATACTGTTTTTTCTTATAGAGAGGTAAAAGTGCTCGGATAACTTCTTTTGTGGATCTCTCAGCTTTCTGAACATATGCTTCTTGGAAGGCTTATATTTAAAAACCTCATTACTTTGTAGTGCTGTGTCTCAATGGCAATGATTCATTCCTTTCAAAGAAGTATTTCTAATAGTTGTTGATTAATTCTTGGCTTTTAACCCCAAACTTTGTCATTTCTTTCCATTTTTTAAAGAAATGGAGACAAAAGCCATGTTCAGTTGACTTGCTTTCCCTAAACAACAGGCAAATACTGTTGAGCAAACACTTCTTGTTCTGTAAGTAAGCTTCTGTGAGAGATTACAACAAGTGACCAATTGTTTTTTTTTCTGTTAAGTCAAAAGAATGGAATTAAGGAGGTTGTTTCCTCTCTTTTATGTTATCCATCTGTATGTGTGGTGCCTTCCCTTCCTCTGTATGGCAGCACCTGATCAGCCATGCTAGTTCTAACAGTGCATTCAACAATTGTCTGTTGCAGGACAGTTTTAAAGCTCTGAGTCACTTGAAATGGCAAAGTATACAAGTTAGAATTTAAAAAAGATGACATAATATGTTGCCTTTTTTTTTTACTGTGATATTTTGCTGTGTAATAACAGTCTATTTATCTTGACTGATGTTGTTCTCCCAACACTGAGACTTGCCTGTGTGGTTCCTGATGCTTTGGTCTGATGGAATCTCTCATAGAATCATATGATTCACCTAGCATTGCTTCCAGACCTTGACAGACAGCACTCCCCATTCTAGCTCAGGTTTGGGATTTGGGAGGCTGTTCCTCTGCCACGCATTCTTGCCTTCAATCCACAAAGGATTTCATTTGATCTGAAGAAAACGGAGCGATTTACTAATTTGAGTGTGCTGTCATTTGTTGGGGAATGTTGCAGAATGTGGTATTTATTTTCTAAGGAATGATCTCCAGCACAGGGCAGCAGGATTCTCATCAAGCACTGACCCCATGAGCAGCTATTCTGCTACACCCAACAAATGGACAAAGTAGTTCAGCTGAGAATTAGTCAGAGAAGTATTGGGCTGATGCTTTGTATAAATGTCACAGGAGCAGAGCAGGAAGTCCAGAGTGCTTGCAGGCTCTGCTGTGCTGTCAGATCACAGAATCATGGAATGGCCAGGGTTGGAAGGGACCTCAGGGATCATGAAGCTCCAACCCCCCTGCCACATGCAGGGCCACCAACCTCCCTGTTTAATACCAGCCCAGGCTGCCCAGGGCCCCATCCAACCTGGCCTTGAACATCTCCAAGGATGGGGCATCCACAACCTCTCTAAGCAGCCTGTTCCAGTAACTCACCACTCTCTGGGTAAAGAATTTCCCCCTGATGTCCGACCTCAATCTTCCTTCCCTCTTAAAACCATTTCCCCTTGTCCTGCAGTTATCAACCCTTTCAGAGAGTTGATTCCCCTCCTGTTTGTAGGCTCCCTTTAGGTACTGAAAGGCTGCAATGAGGTCACCCCACAGCCTTCTTTTCTGCAAGCTGAACAAGCCCAGCTCCCTCAGCCTGTCCTCATAGGGGAGGTGCTCCAGTCCCCTGGTCATCCTCGTGGCCCTCCTCTGGACCCTCTCCAACAGCTCCCTGTCTTTTTTGTACTGCGGGCTCCACACTTGGACACAGTATTCCAGATGGGGCTTCACAGATGAGACTCTAGAGAGAAATGTGTGAGGGGAGTCGAGGGCAGTGAGTGGCTGAATGGGATTAGAATACCCAACTGGATTTTTCCAATTGGCTGAGTGATCAGAGGAGAGTTCATAGATGGAGATGGACAGGGGCTTCCCTTCTGCTCACTTGTAGAACTGCAGCATATTGTGAACTGTATCTCTGAAAATGCAGCTTCCTCTTAAAGTTAAATGAAAAAGCCCTGAAAAGTTGGTACATGAACGATGTAATCAACACAAGAGTATGTCATTGTCACCAAATTGGGTTCTTTTTTTCCTTAGTGACTGTAGAAAAGAGCTTAGAATCACAAGGTTGGAAATGACCTATAAGATCATCCAGTCCAACCGTCTCCCCATCACCATTGCCACCACCAGCACTAAACCATATCACGCAGCACGTCGTCCAGGCGCCTCTTGAACGCTGCCAGGGACGGCGACTCCACCACCTCCCTGGGCAGCCATTGCAGTGCCTGACCACCCTCTGAGAGAAAAAGTTCTTCCTTATGTCCAACCTAAACCTCCTGTGATACAACTTGTGCCCATTGCCCTGTGTCCTGCTCATTGCCTGGGAGAAGAGGCCAAATCCCCCTTTGCCACAACCTCCCTTCAGGAGGTTGTACAATGCAATGAGGTCTTCCCTGAGCCTCCTCTTCTCCAGGCTGAACAATCCCAGCTCCCTCAGCCACTCCTCATAAGACTTGTGCTCCAGACCCCTCACCAGTTTTGTTGCCCTTCTCTGCAGACGCTCCAGGACCTCAACATCTTTCCTGCAGTGAGGAGCCCAAAACTGAACACAGTACTTGAGGTGCAGCCTCACCAGTGCTGAGTACAGGGGATGATCACCTCCCTGCTCCTGCTGGCCACACCATTTCTAATGCAGGCCAGGATGCCGTTGGCCCTCTTGGCCACCTGGGCACACTGTTGGCTCATGTTCAGCTGAGCATCAACCAACACCCCCAGGTCCTTCTCTTCTTCACACTCATCCGCAAGCCTGTAATGCTGCATGGGGTTGTTGTGGCCAAAGTGCAGAACCCGACACTTGGCCTTGTTGAACCTCATCCCATTCACCTCAGCCCAGTGGTCCAGCCTGTCTAAATCCCTCTGTAGGGCCTCCCTGCCCTCAGGCAGATCCACACCACCTCCCAGCTTGGTGTCATCTGCAAACTTACTGAGGGTGCACTCAATGCCCTCATCTAGGTCATCAATAAAGATATTAAACAAGATGGGCCCCAGTACCGAGCCCTGGGGGACACCACTTGAAACAGGTCTCCAGCTGGACTTCATTCACCACAACCCGCTGGGCACGGCCCTCAGCCAGTTCCTTACCCAAAGAAGGGTAGACCTGTCCAGGCCACGGGCAGCCAGTTTCCCCAGAAGAAGCCTGTGAGAGACTGTGTCAAAGGCTTTGCTGAAGTCTAGGTAGACTACATCAGCAGCCTTTCCCTCATCTACCAGACTGGTCACCCAGTCGTAGAAGGAGATGAGGTTGGTCAAGCACGACCTGCCTTTCACACACCCATGCTGGCTGGGCCTGATCCCCTGGACACCATGCACATGCCGTGCAATCTCATCCAAGATGATTTGCTCCATAACTTTCCCTGGTACCAAGGTCAGGCTAACAGGCCTGTAGTTCCCCGGATCCTCCTTACAGCCCTTCTTGAAGATGGGAGTCACATCAGCAAGCCTCCAATCCTCTGGGACCTCACCAGTTAACCAGGAGCACTGATAGATGGCAGAGAGGGGCTCAGCAATCACCCCCACCAGCTCCCTCAGCACCCGAGGGTGCAGCCCATCCAGTCCCATGGACTTGTGACAGTCCAGATGGAGGAGAAGCTCTAAAGCTCTTAGGATCCTGGACAGCTTTTATTTACCGTCCTGGAGTTTATTATGGGTAACTGAATTTTCTGGCTCACTTTGCATCAGTGTAGATTTTACTTCTGTCAGACAAGGATCAATCTTGGCATCTGTTGTTACCCTTCCCATCTCTGCACAAACTGTTGCAGGGCTTGCAGCCATCTGCCTGTTCCTGGTAGGGACTCCTATTGCTGCTTTGCAGGGTTCTTCTAGCTCCATGTAGGCTTCTAGTGCTCTTCTAAGTCTTATTAGCAGAGCCCAAATTACTTCATATTCTTTTGTTGCCAGTGACCTCTTCTAGCAATGATAAGCTTTTGGGAGGAAGGATAACTATTGCTCTAGCCTTCCAGTAACATTTGAAAGTTGCTATCTCTAAAAAGTACTGAGACAAACAAAGTAGAAATGTGAGAATCTCGCACTAACACTGACTACCTTTCTTCCTTTGGAGTCTTCTCTTCCCTTTTTGTGCTCATTCCATAATCCTTTGCACTTCCAGCCTTAAGTGGAATTTGGTTTTGAGGCTTCTTCAAGCACAGATCCCTTGATGGGATAAGTTCATGCTGGAGTAAGCTTTGACAGCTCTGCAGGGGGTAACTGGATCTCTGCAGAAGTAGCCATGCTGCAGAAGGCAAATAGTGCTAATTGCTGCCATTCTCCTCTTCCTTGCCATATAGATTACAACTGGATAACATAACAGTATCTGTCTTGTGTTATAAATGGTGAGGAGAGGCAGTTGTGGACAGAGTGAAGTTACCAGTGGAGATAAATCAGGTTGCTGCTTTCGCTCCCTGTCATGCTGGGGATATCAGTGACAGCCAGTCTCTCCGAAAGTGTACTGCAGAGTTTTGATTCTGCCTTCCCTGCATCCTATGTGACAGTAAAATATTTGTCAGTTCCTTTCTATGTCCATGCATATTATTTTCCATTGTAAATAAGTTGTGGATGGTCATCTCAAATGTGCTGTAATTTGACACAGGCACCCCAACGAGCTCTAAAAACATCCTTTTTGATGCACCAAAAGCATGAGCTGTCACTGGTCAGCCTCTCATATGCAATCAAGGCATTTTTCATCTCTTCCTGTGATGCGTTTGCCAGAGGCAGTTTAACTTTGGCATCTGGGAAAGACTTTACTCCTTAGTGTAGATATTCAAAGAAGCTGTCTTGAGCTAAATGAACTGAACCCAGTTAGCAGTTGCTGTCCTTGATAATACACACAGTTGCATTTTCCAGCATCTTTCTTAGTCTGCCTCCAAAAGACAGTTTTGCTGCCCCTTGGGCCCCGCATCCCTCGCATTGTATCTGTTGATGATGAAGCCATGTCATGGATTGGATCAGCTTGTTCATCTGGTGGGAATGCCTCCTTGCAAGGAAACACTTCTAAATTGATCCAGTGAGTGGGGCAAGAAGCTTTGTATGACTGGGTGTCAGTCAGGAGGTGTAAGGCAAGAGGTAGCGTGCCTGTGGAGAGAAGCTAAGAGGACGAGAGACCTCCTGCTCAGAGCTGACCTTCCTGAAGGCATTCAAGGCCAGGCTGGATGTGGCTCTGGGTAGCCTGATCTAATGGCTGGGGGCCCTGCACGTAGCGGGGGGGGTTGCAATTAGATGATCTTTGAGGCCTTTTTCAACCCAGGCCATTCTATGATTCTATGAATCAGTTTTCTTCATATGATCACAGATAGAAAGTCTGCCTCTAGTCAAAGCCTGCAACGCTTTGCTGTCCTAGGATGGTGTCAGTGCTGGGCTGAGCATGCAGGCTGGGTTTGTCCAAGGCTTCAGGTAGGGCAGCATCCAGCCTGGACTTCAATGAGAGCCTCTCATCAGTGAGACCACTTGTTGACCTTTGATTTTACCTGAAATGGAGCCAACTGTCGTGTGTGACCCGAGGTATCTGATAGCCCACGTGTTCTGCCAGCTGCTTGTTGGAAATAGCACTGGCTGAATGCTGGCAGCCTGCAGGTTCTTGCACAAGCAGTGGGCTGCTGGGAGCTGGACAGTTATGTAATAGGAGTTCACTTTGTGCTCAGATGCTGGGGTGGTTCTAGGAAGTGCTTTTGGAGAAGGAGCTGTAGGGCTTTACATAAAGCAGAGCCCAGACTAAAGGTGTGAAATGGCAATTTTAACCTCAAAGCAGCTTCATCACCTGAAATGGGTGAACGTTTTTACCTTTCTTGGCCTTCTTTGCCCTGTGGGCAGCAGAGAACTGAAGTGTTAGCAGCTCCAGTCTCAGCACAGTTATAGGTTTGAGTATATGTTACTTGTACCTTATTTTTTTTTAATTGAAATCCATGGTTACAATGGTGTTTATACATTCCTGTTCTGAGGTCACTCTGGGAGTGAGATGCTGTACTGTCTCTCTAAGACTGAATTTGCCTGCTTAGTAACTTAGACCATAGTGTGTACTGCAGGTATGTTTCTTGCTGTGCCTGTGAAATAATTCAAAGCCACAACCACATATTTCTGACCACATGGGTGAATTTTGTGCTGTTTGAGGATATGGAAAAACTAAATCAGGAGCTGTTGTTGAACAAATTGCACCCCTCAAGAAGCACAGTCATCTCAGTGCTTCGCAGGCAGCAGAAGAGATGACCAGCATGCTGGGGTAATGAGCTTCTGGGGGCTGCTGCAGCATGGTTGCAAACAGCATCAGGAGGTTGGGGTTTTTTGGGGGAGGAAAGGATCAGTCAGCAATTCTATAAGTGGATGCTAGAAGGGCTGTAGGCAGGGTTATACCTTCTGTATCTGATGTGGAAGCTCCTTTTCCTTAGTAAGCCTTACTGTAGGAATAACAACCTGTGTGTTCTGACCCAATGCCTGTATGTGCTCATCTCTTCCAGACAGATCAATGGCGTCTCAGCTACATCAATAAGGACTTCTCCATCTGCCCTTCCTACCCTCCAGTGGTTATTGTCCCCAAATCCATCGATGATGAAACACTTCAGAAGGTTGCAGCGTATCGCCATGGCGGTCGCTTCCCGGTCCTCAGCTATTATCATAAGAAGAATGGCATGGTAAGCTGCATTTGGTTAGTTGCTCGTACCTGATAGAGGTATATAAACCTGCTCAGATCTCGTCAGCCTTCTTTAATGACAAACAACTTGTGCTCTAGACTTAATGCAGTTCATGAGTCGTTCTCTCATATTATTTTCCAACTTATTTTTAAGCTTCGAAACTGCTTCTGGGTGATGGAATGAGTAATCTCCATCTTAGAAGTAGCTATTAATATGCTTGTTGGGGCACATACATGGCATGAGCTTGTCTCATCTTGCCCTTAGCGCTGTGAGCTTGTAAAGCCATAATTGGCACCCTAACTTGCTTTATCTGCCAAGAGGCTTCGTACTGAAAGGATGGCAGAAACCACATTGTCCTGTCTCTGGGTGATGGCTGCCTTCCTCACAGTGGAATCGTGGTGACAGCGAGTGTGCATGGAGCCAGCACTGCTTCTGCTGTGTAACTGTTGGTTGAGTGATCAGAACAATCTGTTCTCCAAGCCTTTCAGTATAATGTGTTTCAGGAGCAGCAAAATCCTGCTATTGCTCAGACTCCAGGAACTGATGTGTTATAATTAAATGTACTTTATGAAATCATTGAGTAATTCTCTGTATTTTGCTGATGTACTCAGTTCATAGAATGTTGGGGTGCCCAGCTTGCATCCTTGATCCAGGTTCCTGGGTCAGATGCTGTGTTCTTACTTCCCATGGACAAGGTTTGTAAGGACACCTAATCTAATCCTGCACTACTCTACTTTTGTGGTTGGTTTTTTTTTGCCTCCAATTTCCTAAGTCATACACTCAGCTCTTTCTCTGCTTGGATGAAACCTGTTGAAGGAAGACTTGTTCAGTCACCCGTCTGAATTGTTCATGTTTCAGGTGTGAGGAGTGTAACAGCATTTGTCTCAGTGCGTGAACTTGTGACAGTAATGCTGTCTGTCGTGTTGCTCTCTTGGCTTTGGGCTCTCAGTGCAGCTGGGGGTGCTGACTGGCTGCCCTCACCTCTTAAATGCTTCAGCTGTTGGCATGCAGCAGAACTCTAGTTTGAAAGGCAATTATGAAAGAAAAATCTCAGCTAATAGATCTGTAGAACCAGGGCTTACTCGTGCAGCTGCTGAGTAGAACTATTCCTAACTTACCTGCATCTTTAGCAGCTGGATGACTCGAGTGACACACAGATTTGGAAAGAGACTTTAAAAATGATGATCCTAAAAACATTGGTTTGTGAAGGAATCGTCAGCAGGAGTTTGTGAAGATGGCCCTGCAATAATAATTAAAGGGATTAGGTCTCTGAGGAGTCTAACGTAAGAGGTGCTCTGCCAAATGATTGCATGACTTTTGAATAAGCTCAGCCTCTGCACTTGAAAGAATGGAAGATTCAGGACAAGGGGAAACAGGAGAAACAGAGAAATGTGTGGTAGTGTTTTTGTGCATCAAACAGTGCAGACAAGCACATTTTTCTGATTGTCCTGATGTTGTGGATCAAACTTGAAGCAAATATAAGAAGTGCAGTGGGATGAGGGGTCTGTTTGAATCATGGAATGGCCTGGGTTGCAAAGGCCCACAGTGCTCATCCAGTTCCAACCCCCTGCTGTGTGCAGGTCACCAACCAGCAGCCCAGGCTGCCCAGAGCCACATCCAGCCTGGCCTTGAATGCCTGCAGGGATGGGGCATCCACAGCCTCCTTGGACAACCTGTTTCCAGTGCCTCACCACCCTCTGGGGGAAAAACTTCCTCCTAAGATCCAACCTAAATCCCCCCTGTCTCAGTTTAAAACCATTCCCCCTTATCCTATCACCATCCACCCTCATAAACAGCTGCTCCCCCTCCTGTTTATAGGCTCTTCTCAAATATTGGAAGGACACCACAGAAAAACTGCAGATCCAGGAGTGCTCCATTTGCATTTTCCTCTCTGAGCAGATACGTAAGAAGCTCCTAAAGGTTGAGAGCCTTAAGACTCTTGTTTCCTAATTTGGGATTACTTGTCTCCACAGGTCATGATGCGAAGCAGCCAGCCTCTGACAGGTACAAATGGGAGACGCTGTAAAGAAGATGAGAAACTTGTTAATGCCACTCTTCGTCCTGGGAAGCGTGGGTACATCATTGACACGAGGTCCCTGAATGCTGCCCAGCAGGCCAGGGCCAAAGGAGGAGGCTTTGAACAAGAAGTGTATTATCCCCAGTGGAGGAGGATTCACAGGTGCATTGAGAGGTGGGTGAGATCACACAGGCCCTCTTTTGCACTGGGCTTTGTAGGGTTGTGTTGGCAGAGCCATGCCAGCTCCATGGAATAATTGTCTTCTGTAAGACATGGCTGTGCATCTTGATTGTTGTCAGTAAGGTTGCATTCTAGCAAAATGAAGGTTTTTGGCTTTGGAGAGCTGTGCTGAGTTGCTTGTTTTGAACAGTTTGCTGCAGTTGCAGGTTTCAGATATTTTGCAATCTCCCTGTGCCATCTATGTTTCTGATCATCCATAGTTGCAATCCAGCTTTCCTCTTTGCAGTGCACAGGAATGAAGAAGTCCTTTGCTAGAGAACTGCTACAGGTGAGGACTTGAGCGTGGCTGTCACAACTTTGTATCCAGTACTTTTCTCTGGAAATTTAATATTTTATTGGCTATGTGGAGACAAGTTACTGGAGTAAACAGACCTTTGATCTGACTTTGTTCAACTGCTCCTAAGCCTTGGTTTTGGGGAGACTTTCTATATGGGCATGCAGTAATGTTGCTGGATCTGTTGGAAGTCAGTTACTCTTCTTCCTTGCTGTGTAGGCCAGATTCTGAGGAGCTAATAGGATTTTCTTATCCTCTACTTTGAACTATTAAGTTTTGCTTCTCAAAACTGTGTGGAATTGAGCTTGACGTTGGTTACTTTGCAGGTAGATGGTAGGCATCAGGTTTATTCATTCCTCTCTCTGCATTTCTTGTAAGGTTTTTTAAGCTTTTTGAGGTCTGGTCTACTGGCTGCATCCTTTGTTACCCTGAGCACGTGCTGGAGTCAGTGTGAAGTGACATCTGATCCATTTGTAGTTTGATGGCATGTTGTGACGTAGGGCCAGAGAAGCAGCTCACTTTACCACTGCGTGCAGAATGCCAGCTTTCCAGATCTTGAGGATGCACTACAACAACTGCAAAAGTGAAACAAAATGCATTCCCTCTCCCTGTCCTTTTCACCTTCTACCTTATTAACTTAGCCAAACTCATCTTCGTGTGGTCCCACATTGCGAAGCTGAGTCTGGCTTAGAGTTGTGAGTTGCAGTGGGACTTATGTGATGAATGGCTTTTGGGTTACTTATTGCAGCTCTGCAGGTTAAAGCAGCTAGGATAATAGGAAACAAAACACTTGAAGCTTGGCTCATGCTTGCTAATGTCCATGCCAGACTGCAGCAACACGTGTATTTGGTAACAAGGCTGCTGAAGCACTTTGCATATAAAGTGTAGGTATGGCTGAATGCAGGCAGAGCTCGGATCTGAGCTCTGTTGTAATACCCCACAAAGCAATTTGTTTTGAAATGGAAGAGACAACTTCTGTCCAGACAGTGGTGTTCTGCTGGCAACTAGCCACAGCTCTGGATTCCTGGTGAAAGCAGGCTCTGAATAACGACATGGCATCTCTGGGGTCATCCTTCCTCATGTAACTGCATAACTCTCAGTGCTTCATTTTGGTATCAGTAATTCTGAGATCAATGTGTGTCTTGTCTGTTTTTCTGCATTACTGCTAATATTTTCAATATTTTGCTCTTCCCAAAGGTTTAATATTCTGCAGGAAAGCCTCATCAAACTCGTAGAAGCTTGCAATGACCAGTCACACAACATGGACCGCTGGCTCAGTAAACTGGAAGCTTCCAACTGGATGACTTACATCAAGGAGATACTCACTGCAGCTTGCCTAGCTGCTCAGTGTATTGATAGGTAAAGCTTTTCATTTCTTATTCAGAGAGCCTAAGGTTTCTCATTCACCGGTTAGAAGAATTGTTAAATACATTTATTTCCTGTTTAGGTATTAAGCATTTTTTCAACTGGAAGCTTCCAGTACCCCAGGTCACTTTCAGGCTGCTTCTAGGAGAAATGGATTGCTTTATTATTCCCCTGGGAATTGGTCCATTGCAAAGAGCTCTCAACCTTTATCCCCATAGTCTATCTGAGCAATCTTGCTCATTCATTATAAGTGTTTGTGACCTCTTCTAACCTAATGTTTCTTTAATAAATGCTCCTAACTTGACTAACTTGTCCTCAAGCTTGAGAGAGAAGCTTAATGTCAGGTGTCAGGATTTAAAACCAAATGTAGGGGTGTAAATGCAGTCTTTTTGTGGCCCTGGAAGGAGAAGGCCTTTCTCAAGGCTGAAGAACCCCTTGCGTTTCGTAGCAGCTTGGGAACATTACACAGTTACACAAGCAAAGCTGAAATGCAGCCTCATTGGTAGAATAGCATTACTGCATTGAAATATGAGCTACTGTGCCTTCTAAAAGCGCTGATGGTATCTGTTTAGTTATAGGCTGTGCCAGGAAAGGATGGCTCTCAAATCAATGGCTTTATCTGTAATTCTTTCCCCTTGTGTACATTCAGAAAAATCAGTGATGAAACTCCTCTGGCTTCTTGGGAGAGCAGACGGTTTTGTCATTTTTAACCTCTCCTTTTTTCTGTTTGCCTGGAGTTCTGACGTGCCAGCACCAATCTGATGCCTTGCCTGCCTCGCTTGGAGGCTGGTGATGGCAGCTGAGCTGATAAAAGTGGCTCAGTTATGTTGGCTCCAGGGAGGGAATGGCTGGAACATCTTTCTGGGGCAGAAGAGATGAAATGTAAAACTGTTATCCCCATGTGCTCCACTTTGATGAGAGCATAGGCTTGGTGATTGACTTCTGCAGTTGTGCTTGGCAGTGAAGGGGCCTCTGCCTCTGTCTGGGGGAGGAGCAGAGAAAATATCTGAAGATCATCTGAACTGTTGAAGCACTGGGTTTATTTTAGGTTTAGGACTGTAAACAAAGATGTTGCAATGTTTAAGGTATGGATTTATTACTGCTTTTCAATTCAGAAACATCTATCTGCAGGGTTCCTTGCTTCTCAGATGGAGCTGTTTTACCCAAGCTTTGCTGCTATACTTGGGTATCTGCAGAGAAACAAGTACAGCCTGCCATGAATCTCCTTTCTATGTAATGATGCTAGCAGAATTGAGACATCAGTTCAAGGCCTGGGAGGAGTTAAGGGGTATAAGTGCCATTTAATACCATCCAGTCTTTCCTTCATGAGTACTTAAATTTGGTTCTGGAAGTATATCCAAATATGGCCTGGGATGGAGGAAGAGGGGAGGGAATCAGATGTCCTGGGGTGTGGGTCATGTGAGCCCCTAGCAGTGTGCAAGACCTTGCTGTCCCAGACTGCCACATGTTTTGCTCCTCATGTTCTGCTGCTTCACTTGTGCTGGCTGGTGAGCAGGAAGCCTTTGTTCTTGGCTCTTAGACAAGCTTTCTTGCTCAGGACAAACAATTTGTCTCCCTTTCTGGAGACCAAGCTCTGTCTTTCTTCCTTCTTTCTCCTGAACTGGCTTGCTTCTCTTTCAGGAAACACCAGTTAAGGTGCAGGTGTGAGCAAGAATCTCACAGTACTGTTTTACAGAACACTTGGGAAGATGATCCATCTTCAGAGGGTATGGGAGCATTTCAGAGTACTTAGCAAAACCAGAAATGATGAGCAAAGTCTAATGTGTTGGCATCCACTGGGGTGTGTTTATGGGATGTGTTCTGCACATTCATACTGTTATTCCCTTCCATCTTTCTCACAGGGAAGGTGCATCAGTGTTGGTTCATGGGACTGAAGGAACTGATTCAACACTCCAGGTAACTTCTCTGGCACAGATTATCTTGGATCCAGACTGCAGGACCATACAAGGCTTTGAATCTCTTCTTGTCAGGGAGTGGCTACAGGTAAGTCCTGGTGGATAAAATGTCAATCTGTTCTCTTGGCATTTGCATTGGGAAATGGCCTGAGAGGCAGTAAACAGGTTACACCTTGGTGTACATGTGTGAACAAACAGTCCTTGTCTGAAGAAGCAGAATCACAGAATTGCCAGGATTGGAAGGGACCTCAAGGATCATGAAGCTCCAACCTCCCTGCCACAGACAGGGCCACCAACCTCCACATCTCATACCAGCCCAGGCTGCCCAGGGCCCCATCCAACCTGACCTTGAACGCCTCCAGGGATGGACGGGGCATCCACAGCCTCTCTGGGCAGCTGTTCCAGCACCTCACCACCCTCATAATAAAGAACTTCCCCCTGACATCCAACCTAAATCTTCCCTCCCTCAAATTAAAACCATTTCCCCTCGTCCTGCTGTTATCTACCCTTTCAGAGAGTTGATTCCCCTCCTGTTTGTAGGCTCCCTTTAGGTACTGAAAGGCTGCAATGAGGTCACCCCGCAGCCTTCTTTTCTCCAGGCTGAACAAGCCCAGCTCCCTCAGCCTGTCTTCACTGGGGAGCTGCTCCAGCCCCCTGATCATCTTTGTGGTTCCTCTGCACCCTCTCCAACAGCTCCCTGTCTTTCTTGTACTGGGGGCTCCAGACCTGGACACAGTACTTCAGATGAGGCCTCACAAGAGCAGAGTAGAGGGGGACAATCACCTCCCTGTCCCTGCTAGCCACCCCTCTGCTGATGGAGCCCAGGACACCATTTGCTTTCCGAGCAGCAAGAGCGCACTGCTGGCTCATGTTAAGCTTTTCATCCATCAGGACCCCCAGCTCCTTCCCCACAGGGCTGCTCTCAAGGACCGCTCCTTCCAGTCTGTACGGATGCCTGGGATTCCTCCAGCCCAAGTGCCAAACTCTGCACTTTGCTGTGTTGAACCTCATCAGGTTCACCCAGGCCCACCTTTCCAGCCTCTCGAGGTCCATCTGCATGGCATCCCTTCCTTCCACGATGTCAACCGCACCACTCAGCTTGGTGTCGTCAGCAAACTTTCTGAGGATGCACTCGATTCCATAGTTGATGTTATTGATGAAGATGTTACAGAGCACCGGTCCCAAGACAGAGCCCTGGGGGACGCTGCTCATTACCAGCCTCCACCTGGACACAGAGCCATTGATGACCACCCTCTGTCTGCAGCCCTTTCTGCCAGTTTCTTATCCCTCAAGTGGTCCACCCATCAAATCCACATCCCTCCAATTTGGAGATAAGGATGTGGTGGGGGACCGTGTCAAAGGCCTTGCCCAAGTCCAGGTAAGTGACATCAGTCGCCTTTCCCTTGTCCACCGATGCCGTCACTCCATCACTGAAGGCCACCAGATTGGTTAAGCATGACCTTCCCCTGGTGAAGCCATGCCAGCTGTCTCAGATCACACGCTCATCCCTCATATGATCAAGCATGTCATCCAGGAGGATCTGTTCCATCATCTTCCCAGGCACAGAGATGAGACTCACTGGCCTGTAGTTCCCCAAGTCCTCCTTGCTCCCTTTCTTGTAAATGGGAGTGATGTCACCCTTCCTCCAGTCACCCAGGATCTCACCTGACAGCCACGACTTTTCAAATGTGATGGAGAGCAGCTCGGCAACCACCTCAGCCAGCTCCTTCAGAACCCTGGGATGCAGCCATCCAGCCCATAGACCTGTACGCATTCAGTCTCATGAGGTGGTCTCGGACTTGTTCTGCCCTTACAGTGGGGGGGATTTACTGCCCTGGTCCCCACCCAGAGGTTTAGGGATGCAGGGCTCAGGGACGTGAGAAATACTGGAATCCTGGCCACCAGTGAAGACCGAGGCAAAGAACTCATTCAGTACCTCAGCCATTTCTTCATCCATTGAAGCCGGTTCTCCCTTTACATTTACCAAAGGAGGCACACGAGCTTTGACCTGCCTCTTCTGGCCAATGTACCTGTAGAAAGTCTTCCTATTTACAAGGGTGGATAGTGATAGGACAAGGGGGAATGGTCTTAAGCTGAGACAGGGGAGGTTTAGGTTAGATATGAGGAGGAAGTTTTTCCCCCAGAGGGTGGTGAGGCACTGGCACAGGTTGCCCAAGGAGGCTGTGGATGCCCCATCCCTGCAGGCATTCAAGGCCAGGCTGGATGTGGCTCTGGGCAGCCTGGGCTGCTGGTTGGCGACCTGCACACAGCAGGGGGTTGGAACTGGATGAGCATTATGAGCCTTTTCAGCCCAAGCCATTCTGTGATTCTGTGGTACTCGCATTCCGTTGCTCTTTGTGATGCTCTGATTTTTCCTTATAGGCTGGTCACCCTTTTCAGCAGCGCTGCGCCCAATCAGCCTACTCAAATAGCAAGCAGAAATTGGAGGCCCCAGTGTTTCTTCTCTTTTTGGACTGTGTATGGCAAATCCTCCATCAGTTTCCTTGCTCTTTTGAATTCAATGAACACTTCCTTGTTACACTCTTTGAGCACGCCTATGCTTCACAATTTGGGACTTTCCTGGGAAACAATGAAAACGAAAGGTTGGTGAGATTGCTTGCTCTGAACCCCTTAAATATCAGGTTGTGTCTGGTAAAAATGTTGCTTGATTTGGAAAAAAGTGAGGGTGATGGTTTGTTCTTTCTGGACACAGGTGAGTTTCTCTTGTTGCTGTTGCATGGTGTGCTGCAGTGCTAGGGGGCTTCTCCTTCTCTCAGGCACTTGAGCAGGCCAACATTCAGCACTGAATCCTGCTCAGCTTCTGATGCTGTGCTGTACCAGTGGGGCAGCTCTGGGCATGCACTGAGCAGCACTACTGGAGTTCAGGAGGGGTAGGAGCCCCACAGGACAGTTGGCAGCTGCCAGTGGTTTCATTTCCTGTTTTTATCTTAAACCTGTCTGTTTTCAGGCCTCCTGAGTCCAGTAAAACCATGCCTGAAGACCTCTGAAGGAACAGAGGGAAGAAATAGTGCTGATCGTACACATAAATACAAATACAAATAAAGGCGGGGTGAAGCCTTTCGAAACCTCTCAGCCCTGAAAGTAACCTTTGCTTAGAAGAGATTCCTGTCTTCTGCAGGGCTGCTGAACTGGTCAGACTGCACAACTAAGTCGGGTTTAAAGCCAATCAAATGAAATTTGAAAGAATATGAATGTTAGGTGTAATAACCTCTGCCATGTCTGAGTACATCCACCTGTGATCGCAAGCATGTTTGAAGTCCAGTGTTAAGGTTGTGCTGCCTGAAGTATTCGTGGGGATGGCAAACATCCCAGGGGTGACAGCTCAACAGGATGAGATCTGCTAGAATCCCATGACTAGAAACCCTTGTTTAACTCTAGGTGGTGGGTTTGACCCAGGAAAAGATGTTTCTTTCTGTGCTCTGATGCTTCCTGCCACCAGAGGGATCTAATGGGCCATATCCATTGCACTAATTCTGCCTTAAGCCCAACACCTGGAATTGCACTTGATGTTGACCTACCATCGTTCCTCATGACTCAATCTTAACAAGACTGAGTCCTTTTCAAAATTGGCAGGCAAACTGTTTTTGGGGTAGGTGACTGACATCTGGAAAGAAGAAGGCAGCTAACTTCCACCCAAATTGGCAATGACAAAGAAGAGCTGGGGAGACAGCATTTGAGTAAACTGCTTTTAGGTTTCTACCAAGCTGGTGCCGTGCTGATGAGTGGTACTGAAGGGATGAGCTTGAATTGTTGATCCATTACTTTGTCTGAGCTAGTAGTACATGGGAAAGCCTGTGGCACTCTAATCTGACAAAGCAAAATGAGTTGTCTTCTTGTGGATCAAGCCCTGGGCAACCTGATCTATGTGTGTCCCTATTCACTACAGGAGAGTTAACTAGATGACCTTTAAAGATCCCTTCTAACTCTAAGGATTCTGTGATTCTTAGTTTAAAACTGAAAGCTAATTTGGTCCTTTGGGTTTGCTAGGTCTAAACTGAAGCTGCAGCAGAAGACTATGTCCCTGTGGTCCTGGGTGAACCAGCCTGAAGAGCTGAAAAATTTCCAGAATCCTCTTTTTGAGGCCAACAGCCTTGTCATCTGGCCCTCTGTGGCCCCACAGAGCCTGCAGCTCTGGGAAGGTAAACCAAGCTCATATGTATTTTGTGGCTACTAGTGAAGCATCTGCTTCTGTTGTCTCTGCTCCATGCTTAGTCTGTCTCAGCTGTTAACGTTCTCACTCCCTTTGAAATCTGTTCCAAAATATGTTTGGAACGTAGTTTACCCAGAAGCATAATGCTGCCTCATGAGGTTTAGCAACATGCTAGTTTTTGGCAGGGGTCACACTGGACCTTCTCAGTACCATTTAACTTGTTAGCACAGTATCTTTGCAGTGATGCAGCCTTATCTATGGCAAGTTCTGTAAGCCCCAGACTTTCTTTATTCTGCATGAGCAAGACCTTTTCCTCTTTTATCCTGGCCAATAGGTGGATAATCTGTGCACTACGTCATCTGTTGAAGAAACTTTCTCTGACCTATGGGTAGTGAGGCACTGGCACAGGTTGCCCAAGGAGGCTGTGGATGCCCCATCCTTGCAGGCATTCAAGGCCAGGCTGGATGTGGCTCTGGGCAGCCTGGGCTGCTGGTTGGAGACCCTGCATGTGGCAGGGGGTTGGAACTGGATGAGCACTGTGGGCCTTTGCAACCCAGGTCATTCTATGATTCTGTGTCTGCTAAAAAGTTAACGACAATGAAGTAAGCAGGCTGTTGTGGCAGGCCAGAGACTGAACATGGACATTTTAGTATGAGAAAAAAAGGAAGGCAAATTTTTTAACCTTAATAGAATGATGAACATATAGCAGGTTCAGTATTGCTAAGTGCTATTTAGGGAAGAGAGTAAGAAAAAATATGTCAACTATATGCATGTTACTTGAGAGCTGATTGAATGTGAATAGCAGTTCCACCTCTGACTACAAGAAATCCTTGTGACTTTTTCTGTCTCTGGGCTTTCAGGTATATTCCTGCGATGGAACAGGCCTTCCAGATACCTAGATGAAGCCGAGGAAGAAATGAAGAGGATTATAGACTACAACAGGTTTCTTCAGGACAAGGTTAATTCAATGAGGAAGCAGATAATGCAGACAGAAACGGAGGACAGGATGGACAAGGTGGACAAGGTGGACGAGGTGGACAAGGTGGATGAGGTGGACAAGGTGGATGAGGTGGACAAGGTGGACGAGGTGGACGAGGTGGACAAGGTGGACAAGGTGGATGAGGTGGATGAGGTGGATGAGGTGGATGAGGTGGATGAGGTAGACGAGGTGCAGGAGAACCCATGAGCTGCCAGGGCTTTGCCTCAGGTCTTTCTTTTCCAGTTCCATTTAGTTTAAAGATTAAAAGTGGAAAGTGCATGTATTGCAGAGTCCTCTGGTACAGCTGACCCTCAGTCCTCCACCTCTGAAACCTTCACTTCACACAGTGTACCTCCCTGCTTTTTGGGAGGGAATTTTCTTTTGTTTACAGAAGGTACAACTGGGCATAGTTTCCTCTCCTGGCAGCTTTCTTGTCTCTTACTTGTGCAGTGTCAGCAAAAGCTGGAACTCTTACCTCCACCCAGCTGTATGGATGACCATGATGGGCCAAGAGATGAAATGTTACAGATTTATTTTGGACTTTGATCTTTTTTATTTTATTTTTGCTGAACTTTCTAAACATTCTTTGTGGGATTAAAAGACAAAGTTATGTATAGATGGGTTAAAGGCATTCTATCTGAGAGCACCTTTTCTCCTCAAGTAGTTAGGGCAGCTTAGTTCCTTAGTTTCCTAGAAAGGTTATAATCTAACTACAAGACCAACCAGTCCAAACAGTGCTTTCAGTAGCCTTCACATCTCAGACTTGGGGGTTTTCTGGTTTGGGAGCAGTAGGTTACATACCAGGTAAGAAATTTCAGTGCAATACAGAACTGAATAGGGATTCTGCTGCTAATGTTTAAGCTATGACCTTCAGGTGGAGTTGTTCCTCATGGACAAGTAACTCCTAAGGAATAAAACATATTTTTTATTCTACCTGGAAAACAAAAAGGTTGTGATTGCTGGAGGTGTATTCACTTGCTGAGCAAAGCAAGGGACTTGGAGCTGTCCTCTTCAGAGCCACACTACCCTCTTGAACTTCTGGCTGTTTCTACACATTTGAACAGGTTCACGGTGCACAAGCAGCACTTAATTTACTGCTCAGCAAAACATTATTACACCATTTTGTTTCTTCTCTCATGCTCTTCCTGTGTGCTTTGTCAAACATCCAAAGCTAAAGCTGAGAGTTGGCGTGATCCAGCATACCAGGTATGTTGCAGATGGGAAGGCTGTCACATTACAGAAGTGTTAACAGCAGCTGCAAATGACTTACACTAAAACTGTTCAAAGATGCTAGAGAAGATTTTCTTCCAAATCAGTTCATTTTGTAGTTATTTGTCTCTGTGGCTGTAATCTGCTATTTTGTAAGGCTATTCTCTTTTTTCTAAGTCTCTTTCTCCTTCAGATAACAATGGTGTGGTGCATTAACTCATACTGGTGTTTGTCCAGCTAGGTTTCACTGATAGCTACCCATAACTGAGGAGACTTGAAATCAAGCAGTGCATGTGGCTGGGATTACTGTAAGCTGCTCACTGTTAGCCTGTTGCTGCTGAAACCAGTGCAGCTGCATGAGGTCAATCTTGACCTCTTTGAAAAGTGTTGAATTCAAGTGTCATTTTTTTGATGCTTTGGATTGAAGCTGCCTTTGCTTAAAAGCCACTTAGCATAAGGATATGAAAATAGAGGCTCCTTAGTTGTCTTGGGAGTATCTGGAGAGCAGCCTTCTGTGTAACACCTAAAGATACCTTTTTAAAAGGTGTTCCATAATGAAGGAGACTGATATTAAGCACTACCTTAATGCCTTTTGCTTCAGTCCATATCTCCTTAATTTTCTTCTTGAGTAGCCTAAACTTCTAAGTCCTGTGGCTTAAACACTTCATTGTAATATCTGTTTCTTCCTACTCTCGTAGAGCAAACTTGTTCCCAAGATTACAGCTGACATAGGAACACTTGTATTTATCAGAGTGGCTGATGACCTGTAGCACACAAGGGAGATGCAAGCTGGCCATGCCTTTCTTCCATTTCCAGGCTCTGGATTTTTGGAGCTGCCTGCTTATATTGCAAATGAAAGCCCTGAATATTACTGCTTACCCTTCAGAGCTATGGCTGTGCTGTCTGCAGCTGCCTGGATGTTGTACTCCCATCCCATTCAGAACTTCTGCTGTTGCTGTATGTCCAAAACACATCATCATGAGTCAGACGAGAAGGATTTGAAAGGGACTGTTTTCCCCATAATAGACTGTACATAAAACACACTTAAAGGTTATGCAATTTCCTAACATAGTAATTATATATTGAGCTAAATAATAGAGAAGCAAAGAAGGCTGTTCTCTTTTCTTTTTTAATGTAATTGCTTGGCTGCTGTAGTCTCTTATCTCTTACAGAAACTGCAGGCATCTGGGGAGATGGCATGGATTTGCAGTCTTCATGTGAAAATGACACTGTCATTGTGAGCAGTGGCAGCAGGTGGTTCTTTTATTCCCCCCCCCCAGTTCTTCTGCAAATAGTCCCCTTTGTGCAGTGTTACAGCACTGCTGGGTGCTGTGTGGTAGGTAGAGCTCACCCAACGTGTGGATCCCACACATCCTCCAGGGAAAACAAACAGTTCTCAGATGTCTCATGGCACCTGCAGTTCTTTTCACCTTTCCATTCCAGTGCTTCCCAGACTGTGGAGCACTCCAGCTGTTTGCTAGCTTATGTCTATCACACTTATTCCCTTGCTTTGATCAGCTTGCTTCCCCTTAGCTGCAGGGCTCACCTGTGGAGTTAACCACACTCTGCTGTATCTTCCCAGGCTGTGAGTGTGATGCTGCTTTGCACAGCTGCTGGGATGCCCTTCTGTTCCTTAGCATATATGGGCCCTTCCCCCAGGCTCACTCAGTGCAGACACGCTGCCATTAACCAAAAGAAAAAGGGAAAAGGAATCAAACTTGCACAGTTTTCACAAAGACAAAGGGAAATATGTACCTTCAATATGTTGATTGTATTGATCTAACTCTTGAATGTGGAGACCTGTTGAAGTGCACTGTCGTCCACGCTGCGTGCGACGGAACTGAAATTGCACTGTACAGCATGCTGGCTTCTCACTGTGCTTTGCTAAAGCCTTGGAAGGTGCTGTCATGTACAGGTTCCTGTACAAGGGAAAATGTCTGTAATAGCACTCCTTTCTTGTAACTGTGACACTGAATAGCACTGCGTGATGTGTGCTGTCTATCTGTCAGGCCGTGCAAACTGAAGTGATGAGTGCACTTCTGTCTCAACATCTGGAATTTGCTAATTGGACTCGGCTGCTGCATCAATCTTCATTTGAAAACTAAATGTCAGGGCTGGGAGCTGTGTGCTGTTGTTAGATGTATGCTGAACATGTACAGAATCCTGGCTGCTGTGGCGTTGAATATACTGAATATAACAAATCCGAGGGAAGAAAAATTGACTGTGGTTGAAATGGCTCAGCCATTAGAGGGGGGAGAAACAGACACAAAATGGCTGTAAGCTTCACTGTAGATATGTTGAGAAGATAATAGAATTGTCTGTTCAAATTAAAATGTTCCAATTAAAACCTTGAAGACTGGGATTCTTTAATTACATTGCTGGAGAACCTTGTAGCACTGCCTTCACTTCTCATTGTCTGTGTGAGTTGGATGCAAACACTTGTCTAAAGCTTATTTTTCCTGGCTGATGTGGCATTTTCTCCTACAGTGGTGATAAAGAGGGGAGTTGTGCTGCAGGGCTACATGAAAAGGTTGAGACTTTGATTCTGTGTGTGGATTGCAGAGCTCTGCTTCCATGGTTTTGGTCCTTTGTCACCAGCTCTGCACGTGGTGTGGGAAAGAAATTAATTACAGTTCTATGCTTGTATTAGATTCCTTAAGGGAACAGGTTGCCCAAGGGGGCTGTGGATGCCCCATCCCTGCAGGCATTCAGGGCCAGGCTGGATGTGGCTCTGGGCAGCCTGGGCTGCTGGTTGGTGACCTGCACACAGCAGGGGTTGGAACTGGATGAGCATTGTGGGCCTTTGCAACCCAGGCCATTCTATGATGCAGGCAGATGTTAAAGGGAGAGTGGGCAGGACTGAAGTAGAACCTTGCAAGCTCATTAGTAGTACTAGGGCTCTCCCCACCTCACTTAGAAACAGTAGGTAGCATCATTTCTACATGCCAGGAAAGGATCAGCATGCTGTGTCCCTGGGCCATCACTGAGAGGTAGGAGATGCTCTGTGACTTCTGTTTTTTCAGCAGATCAGCTCTCTGTTGCCCTGCAGCTTGTACAGTCCCAAAGCTTCACAGGATGACTTGTAACTCATTTGGTTTGGAAGGGACCTTAGAGCCCACCCAGCCCTGCAGTGGGCAGGGATGCCTCCCACAGCCCCATCCATGGCCTTGGGTGCTGCAGGGATGGGGCACCCACAGCTCTCTGGGCAGCAGTGCCACTGCCTCACTGTGAAACATTTCCTAATATCTGTTAACCTCTGTGAACGGACTGTGTGTGAGTTCACCTCATTAAATCCTGGGCACCTATGGTTAGTGGTGTTTGTGCAACATCCAAATCCCCGTGTCTTGTGCGTGCTGTGGCATGAATGGATCTTGAGGGTGTTATAAGTCAGCAGACTGTGGCCATAAGCATCCATGAAAAGCCAAATGCTTTTGTTTAGTGCCATTGCAGGGCTGTCTTCCAAGCTGCCAGTTGTCCCCCAAGCAGTGGAAGCAAACAATGAGAAAGAACCACTGTCGTCCCCTGGACGTGACTCTGAGATGCTTCTCCCTTTCTACTGCTGTGTGAACGTCAGGACACAACTATGGCATTCACCTTTCAGAGGTGGAGATGATGATGATTTGGTTATCTGTTGTAAGAGCATTGCTGATACCTCTGAGACAACCTTAAGCATCGTAGGTCATACTGGGCTGGCGAGGCACTGCTGTAACTGCTGAAGGTTTTACTGTTGCAGTGCAACAGGAGAGCTGTTGCTCTGTGAATGATGGGTTGTCATAGGGATGAAGTGTCCACGAAATGACTGATGTGCTGTATTAAAATGCATGTCGTGTCAGTCTTAAAGATGCTCTATAGGTATGAAAATAGGATGAACGATACAAGGCACTCAGCCTATTCATGGGCCTGATTGCTGTACTCTGATGCTACGTATTTTAGAGAAAAAGATTTTCTTCTGTAGGTCTAGAAAAGACCCTTCTATTTATACAGCTCATGTTGTGTTG